CCTTTAGGAAAGTGTTTTCGTTGGTGTTTATGGATTTATACATAAGTATACAGGGTGAATAAAAAGTCGAGGCCCCCCCCCATCTAAAATTTTTCCAAGTAAATATACAGAGATATCCTTTAGGGGGTCGTGCAATCTTAACAGGAAGTTTCATTTTGTGATTTTGAAATTTTTGAGTGTCCCCCCAAAAGGGGGATTTGGGGGGCAACTCAAATATTTTAAAATGTAAACCCCCTTCAAGTGACACCTAATTTTGAAGTGTTTACAAAAACTTAAAGAATGGTGAAAACTAGAGTTCGCTATCTCTTCTCTATCCAAAATGGTAGCCAATATTACCATTACGAACGAATTTTACCATTGATTTTCCACAACATTTGATGGGCTACCATGTTGGATAGAGAAGAGATAGCGACCTCTAGTTTTCACCATTCTTTACGTTTTTATAAACACTTTAAAATGAGGTGTCACTTGAAGGGGGTTTACATTTAAAACATTTGAGTTACCCCCCCAAATCCCCCCTTTTGGGGGGACACTCAAAAATTTCAAAATCTCAAAATGAAACTTCCTGCTAAGATTGCACGACCCCCAAAAGGATATCTCTATATATTTACTTGGAAAAATATTAGATGGGGGGGTCTTGACTTTTTATTCACCCTGTTTGTTACAACTTCTTATGGAAGAAGCTTTGTTTTAACTGCCACAAAAAATAAAGGAATGTCCCCCATTTAAAGTTTTCTCTTTCTAACCGTTTCCGTTTTCCCAAAGGTGGCCTCCTTGAGTTGATCACCCTGTATATCTATGCTAACAATGTACGCGTTACTTGTTTGGAGTTAGTTCGGTCCACCATATTCCACGGGAATAAGTGGTTTTCATAATTTATGAGATTTTTGGCTAGTAATACACGAACAAGGCATACTTCACCAACATGTAGAGTATCTATCTATATATTAATAGGCAAGCATGTTTCTTTAAAACCTTTTTTCTCAGCTCGTGCGCATCGCAGGAAAAATCTTCGCATACTGTTAGAAAGATATTTTCCTGTAGGTGTGCAGAATCCCTTTAAAAATTCAAATAGGCTCAAAAATAAGCACAAAAAATAAATTTGAAATTTGAAAAAAATTAACATGGGCTTTATGGGTTTCCATGCTGGTGACGAAATAACAACGAAATATAAACATAAAATCAAAACAAATTGAAGAAACTCCAATCATATGTTTTATTTACAGTGTGGGCTGATAATAGAGAAGTCTGTACATTACAAATTTTTGGTCGAGTTTCGACCACTGGACGACCTCTAGTTATTATAAATTCAATGGGATTCAGAAGCACAAAAAAAATTATAATAGCTTTTATCGTGGTCAATTAAATCTTAATTTTCCTAAGATGATTATTGAAGAACACTTATCAAGTATAAGTGTAGACATAATTTTGAAGAGGTTGTTAGGTGACGTTTTGCAATCTGTAGTTATGTTATCATATTTAGATTTGTGAACCTAATAAGTGGTGTGGTAAAGTATCATGCCACCAATAACAATTCAGTTGGGGATTACTGACTGTTTTTGTAATATCTGGTGCAATAAAAAGCAATTGACAAAAATTGGAATGGTGCTAACAAGATTGGAGTGTTTAGGTTCATGCAAACACAAATTGTATAGCCTACAACCACAACTGTAGTTAGAAGCTAAATTGTCTTATTTAAAAAAAAAACTATTAGACTCGTTTTTATATTTATGTATACGATAAACATTTTTATGTACAGCTAATCGTATTAATTAACTTGAACCATTGCATAGCTTTATTTATTTAGTTTTATAATTTGGCCAATCTTACATGTTTGTAGAAAATTTTAATGTTGGATAAAAATTGAAGTTTCTTGTTTGATGGTTGTTTTTCCTTTGCAATTCCAACAAACTTTGATCTTTTGACTAGGCAGTACTTTTAAAGGTCGAAGGTAGTCTTTTGATCAGTTCAAGAGCGTTACCGGTCAAGGTACCGCACCGTCCGTTGAACATTATGTGTACTTTATGCAAATGAAATCGGGTGAATAAACCGTTTGAATGACAAAACTTATGTGTCTTTTGAACATTCAAACGTTATTTTCAACATCTCAGAAGCTTATATTTGCATTACTCACATCAAAATGAATTTAAATACGTATACCTTTACGTCATAGAGAAAAACACGCTTGTAAAGTTTATTTGTAAATTAGTTTCGCAGAAGAGGGTAGGGGATTCATTTAATTATTTCAAGATTTTACAAGTATTATTTCATAAATATAAAATTAGCTTTTGGTTACCTTATAAGATTTGCTATGTGTGTTGTAAGATATCAACTGTTATTTTCATATTTTTACGGACAACGAACCTAATATTTTCCAAATAAAGCGATCACTTAACCGATTGAATCATTTTAAGCTGAATAAAAATGAGAGAGAATGGCGTATCTCTGGAACGTTGTTACTGACTAGTGACAATCATCAGCTGTTTCAGTCAGGACCATTTTTCCCTAAAGTGTATTTGACAAGTTTTGTTTCGCAGAAGAGGGTGGGGTATTTATTTCATTATAACCCAATTTAATAATCACTGTATATTTATTATAAACAAAAACACTTTTAGCGAATTTCCCTATAGGGAATAAGCTATCAGCACGATAACTCAAGCAAACATTATCCGATTTCGATGAAATTTGGTACAAACGTGTAAACCTACGTTTATTGGAACGAGTTTGCGAACCAGCATGATCGGACCATGGGAACGGGGTTTTATGGGGGTATTTATGGGGTAAAAATAGGTTTTTCTCATTTTTGACCCTGAAAACATAAAATTTCCCAAAATTCCTCTAAACCATTTTGAAGAGCTTAAAAAACAAATAATTCAGTATATTGAAGTGTTTTTGTATGGTTATTGGTTGCGGAGAAAACTGTAAATTAAAAATTCCCATGTTATTCTTATGGAGAATACGTAAACTGTTGTAGTTTGATTGTTTATGCATATATATTTGGATCAAACTTGGCCAATCTATTTATTTTATACTAAGCTATTAATATTTTACCAAAAAACACACTTTATTACCCTGTAGGCAGCAACCTAGGTACTCGTTAAACTTAATGTTATTTGAATGGATTTTATTGAAAATCAAATCAGGCAAATGGAAATTCGCTTAGTCTGCAGGTTTGCTGCGGCGGGGGTATTTATTTATTTGTTTTGTGTATTATTTATTGTCTATTGTAATGCATATTGCATGTGATTATTTAGATTTGTACATTAGTTTTGACAAATAATGAAGTATACAGTATTGCACTGTTATCAGTAGCACGTACTGGATGTTAACAGATAAACACCTCGATGAAATATGTTTTGTGATATACTATTTCATAGTGGACCAATCTTCCCCATTCTCCCAACATAGACTTTCAATTTGGCATTTGACTTACAGGTATTTCCCATTTTCTCAAGCTTCAGTTCGGTTTACTACATGACATTCCTTTCTCAGAGATCGCTTAGTTGGTTTTCGTTTGTATGACTTTACTCTAGTCAGAATTTAAATAGCTTACTGAATTTTATACTAGTTTTACTAGGATGTACCAAAGAAGAACTAATCAAATAGTGGATCGTGCTTGTAAAATCTACAAGAAATTATTTGCTAGAAGTTTGTGAAGATAAACAAATACAAGCGAGTTTGTAAATATAATTGTTTTACAAAATAATTATAGACTTAAAAAGCAATTTACAAACGGATACTAATGAACATTTAACAGTCATGTTCTGATCAGTGTTTTGAATATCGTTATTATCTTTAAGGGTATAAAGTTTTGATTTGCTTTTAAACTTTTTTAACACGTAAAATTTCCATTAAATACCTGATAGATAATTTGCATTTTAGTAATTAATTGTTGAATTTGTTTCTAGTGTATAGTGAAGGCATTAAAAGTATGACATTTTTCGTTCCCATAATCTGTAGATTTAAGTACATCGACTAAAAGCTGAAAATAACAACAAATAGTTCCATGACTTGAATATAAAACAATAGCGGACATAGATAAAAGGACTTCCTAACTTTAGGATACAACATTTTCTTATCTGAATAAGGTCTTAGCTAAATTAACCCCATTACACCCCGTTCTAATGACCTTATCTCGGACTCATTCAATTTTATCCTACTACTTCGAGCCAAATGTTATGAATATCTGACCAAAATTACTCCAGTTATCGAGATCACGGACGTATACAGGTTGACTAACTTGTGCCACCATTACTATCTCAGAAACTACTAGATTTAGAGAAAACATTAAATAGGAAACTTCAATTATTTTCGTTTTTTATTAAATTTATTTTAGAAACAGTTTTTTTAGATTGTAGATGTAATTTTAAGACTAATTCAATCTTTGCTTCCTCTCTAAACTAGTTTAGGAGCTACAGGGTACAGAATGTACGAAAAAACCCTTATTTAAAAATGTAACACGCTGTAACTCCTGATAGTATCTTTAGAGAAGAAATGCAAAGAATAAAAACATTTTAAAATTGCATTTACATTCTAAAATTATCATAAAAACAAGGTGTTCTATTAGACATTTTAAAGTTAGCTTCAATATTGGAAAATGGGGGCCATTTTTGAACATGTAGAATTCATATTTTTTATGCCATGAGAAAATAATTGAAGTTCCCAAATAATAATTTCTCTAAATCCAATAGTTTCTGAGGTAGCAATGGTGGCACAGTTATGTTCTCTCTGTACACGGATGACACGGTAACAACTGCTGTATTGTAGGGAAATTTGCAAAAGACTGACAGCAACTTTAACATTATAAAAGTCTAGTTGATAGTGGTGTAAGCTACATCTGTGCTATTGGGCTAACCTCAGACAAGAACATGCAGACAAAGTTCAAGCTGTGATTTAAACTACTGTAGACCCACTTTAGATATAACAGTCAGACCGGTGACTTAGTACACTGTATGTTGAATTGTAGCTAAACTACTATCAAATAACTATTTTTGTTACAGGCTACCAACCACTCGGTGATGATGAGCTAGGACTGGTCTACTTAAAGAAAGAGAAAGGTAAACATATATTTTTGTAGATTAATTTAATACTGTTGATATCCTTCGACATTATTTTACAAATTCTGCGTACGAATACTCTGTATTTATCTTGAGAATGTTGGTTGAACATATTATTCACCTCGTAATTCAGAAAGTATTTCAAATAGTGATAAAATGTGCAAAAACTATACTAATTGTACAAATATACACAATGAAATACTAATTTAAATCACACTTTTTGGATGTCCCATTATGTAGATGATAATCATTCATTACTCATACTCATTACAATTACAATTTTTTACATAATAATATGGGTGTGTAAAACATGTGTGTCGAGGACGCTATAATAGTGCAAATGTCTCATTTTGCATAATTTGATTTCTTGGACTTGGATTAAGGATGAAAGTTGGAACTGCTTTATGATCCAACCAATTATAAACTGTTTGTTGAAATATTCCGTCTTAACTACCGTCTAGATTTCTTTTGTCGAGGTAAAAGTACTGAAGACTAGAATTATTACCGTTTTACATACATTATTGACACATTCTCACTCTAACAATGGAAATGGAGAAACACAAAAATGTACAAAAGTTTTTTGTCATTTTATATTAATGTAAACAATTGTGTAAAAAGCTATAGGCCTAAGTTTACTGGTAAAAATCAACATGTATATCCATGGAATGATCACAATATGTGTTTTGTAGTTTACTTACTTGTGTTTAACGGGTGGATTTTATCTGTGTTTTTAATTTATAGAATCAAAATTATTTGTGTGTGTGTGTGTGTGTTTTTGTTTTAATCGTTTCATATACAATTTGATAGTATTGTAATTAGTTTCTCTGTTAAAATTTCACTTTTGGAAATAATAATACGTATGAATTTGACATCATATTTTATCATAGACAAACAATATTAGTGGTTAAAAACCTAGGTTTTAGGTTGTGACGTGGAATCCGACTGCATCGTTTGGTTAAACGAACCTAGATTATAATAAGATCAGTAACAGATGAAACCGGGCATCGCCTGCAAACACTTAGCTGAACCGAAAATAAATACACAAAGCAAGCCAATTTACATGTATAAAAGCAAACCAAAAGAGAAAATGGAAATGTAAAAAAGGGTATAATCAATACACGAAAATACATAAATTTCATTCGTTTCGGGGTTTTGAAACTAAGACTTTTACACAAAAAAATAGTTTATACCTTGGACTTGTATATTTACATTTCCAAAGGTTTTGTCACGTTTTAGCATTGACCATAAGTTATAAAGTCAATGGTTTTAGCTCAAAAAGAACATTTTTGTTTAGAGCGTTTAAATTTTACGATCACTTTCAAGGTATTTAAAAACAAACATATGTTGCATTGATGTTGATTAAGTTGTTCAAAATTATAATACCCGTCAAAAATAAGATAATAATCTCGTAATAACATTTCTTTAGACCTAAGGGTGTGAGTGTAACTAAACCGTGTGGATTTAAAAATCTTTACTTAACGGTATGAAATTGATTATATATTTTATCTAACTACTCTTGTAATAATTAATTGGTTGTTGTTTAAAAACTGTTACTAAACCTTTTAAATGATATAATCAAGTATATTTTTGATCATCATACGTATTGTTCACTTACAACAAAGAGCTGGAAACCTCGCCACGTCTTTGTCAAAGCCAGCCTCGGAGTCTCACCGAGTTGTTAAAAGCCAAGCCAGAATAGTTGAAGGGTAAAATTAGGACATCTTCTAAGAGACTACTCCCTGCTGGTGGAGTAAAAGCTTTCATTTCTCATTCAGTTTCATTCTGTTATCTGCGATAACATCCATAGGCTGCTGGAAAAAACTGTTGTTAAAAAGAAACATTAATATGATTTGGTAATTGATTTCGATTTGGAAACATTGTAATACGCAATTTTATATTGTTGACGTATATACTGTACTAACATATTTAATTTACACTGTAACTATTATCTCAAATATTTATCTATTGTCATAACTATAATTACATGTCATGTGATGAACAGCGGTTACATATTCATCGCCGTAGTTTAGATAGTATTTACACTGAGCGGGCCTTTCATGTTGCATGCATAGGGAATAATTACACTAGTTGTGATACTACAAGCATGCGATCATGTGGCATGGCACGACGTCTAAGAGATGGGTCTTGCATTGTTTACATGCTCTTAAAGAAATTTAAGGCTTATAATGCAATCGATAAGTAAGGATTCAAATTTTAGCGTACATAATAAACGGATGAATTGGTTAAGTGGTGTAACATTAAGCCCGATGATCGTAAAACAAATAAACTATACTGTTTAGAACCTTAAAGGAATCGATATGTAATTTATGATTTTTATTTATTATAATTGTGCTTCCTTACAACTTTAGCTGGTATTATCTCACTTAGTTATCGCGAACTAAAGTTCCTTAAGGAAAGAAATTACAGTTATTTTGTCTTTTGTCTATGCGATAAAACTAAATGTTTAAGTTATGTTTAAGAACACAACTGCAAATAAATATTCAACAATTTACATTGTGTAGCTACGTCATTATTATTGCTTGAAAACCAAAACGAACAAAATAAAAAAAAGTTAATAATTCCTTAACAGTGATCGAATAACATAGTAGGTACTTAACTATTCGTTACCAAAACATTTTTCTTGGACACCATAATTCTGTACTCCCTTAAAACTATTCTTGTATTCTCTACAAATTTTATCTGCGAAATATAACGTTTAACGTTTAATGTAGGTTAGTGACAAATTATATGGTAAAATAACATGTGATATATTAGGTCTATCATGACGATTTTAATATCCACGAAAAAACTATGATTCTATCATTACCAGAATTGGCAAAAATGCAAAATTTCCCGAAGAGTTACTGTTATTACTGTAATCAACGCAATCTGTGTTTGTTTGTTTAATCTGTTTTAAGCTTTAAATCAGCTTCTGGCAATCCTCTGTATTGATTTGGCTGAATACCTTCAGCACATCCAATACATACATACATCTAATAGTACATCCAATACTATGTGTTACTATAACCATAGATGAAGTATTTATTCTATACTATAACTATTATCCAGGCAATCTATATTTTTCGTGTATTTTATTTCGTAGGCCTTTACACCCTAGGACCAAACCTAGCCTCTAGCCCGCGACTGTTTAACACTTTACTTCAGACTAAAAATAATGGGTTGCGGCATTATCCATAGAACTATGGCATTATCACATCGCTAACATGTTTCGGTGATTGGTGGGATTTGAATCCGGAACTTTGTGACCAAAGCCCAGTGTTCTTCCACTAGACAAGCACGCTTTTCAACTTTACTGAAAATAGGTTTTACCTACGACCTTTTTTAAAAGTAGCCGTTTCAGTACGGTTCTTAGAATTGAAAAGTATCTCATAACAGCATTGTTTACTTTCATAACAGCATAGTTTTACTCATAACAACACGGGTAACGGACCAATGAGGTTCAAGGATTGAGAGAGGAGAAGCAAAATTGTAATGATTCGAAATACAACTAATCAGCTGTTCAGGCCAATTTAATTGTTGATTGGTGCAATTAGTATTTGATACAATGTTTCGTTGCATCACTGTCAGTGGCAATTAGAGGTTATAAACAAAAAACATAACCTCTCTTAGGAGTTGTGAGTAGTGATTTTTAGTAATTAAAACACCGTCGTAGGTAAAGTAGTGTACGCAACTCGCGTAAATAGTGTTAACGTCACTCGTAGAAGTTTTTAAGGCACTCGCCAAGGCTCGTACCTTAAATTTTCTACTCGTGTCGTTAACAATATCTTTACGCAATCGTTGCGTAAACTACTATTAAGGTCGTAAATTGAAATGTCCTGGAATCCCAAGTTTCCCTTTGAAATTAAATGCATACAGGGAAACATACTTTACTATATACAAATATGTGGCTGAGCACATGAGGTAGTTATCCACCTCTCAATGTAATTGTACCAAATTCTTAAAACCTCCACTCATTTGAGCAAATTTGACATTTATAGTTTATTCTTGAAATACTGTATGATAGAAAATATTTGAAGAAAAATTAAAAATAGGCCTAACTAAAAATATTTTGTTGAAGACAGTTGAAATCTAATCATACATTACTCAAATTTGTATATAAGTAAGTTTTGATAAATTTATATTATTTACAATAATTGCTAATACTGTAGTTTCAAAATAATTAATTTTTCAACTCCTCGCTCTTTAACAAGGTGCATTGCTTGTATTTAACACTTACATTAAGCGGAAGTATACAAAGAATGATGATGCAATTTGCAGAAGTGGTACCCTGGTTTTAAATCTATTTTAGCGCTCCTTGAACGCAAATTTATTTTCTTTATTTATTGTATGGTTTACTGTTACTATCTGCTGTGTTGTTTATGCTTTTGTTCATGCCTTAACTGATGGATTTATTACGTTTAATAAAAAAAGATAATTTAAAATCTAGGAAACTAAATTTTTTTTTCTTAAAACGTTAGCACTAGTATTGAGATTAATGCACAACTACACCTTTGCATGCAGTCCAACATGCACATTGCACATCATGTACAAGGTCATATTGCATGTAATGTGTGGTTTACATAACCAAGGCAGCTTGCATGCAATTCAATTGTATGTATTTCACTATTGCTCTTGTAAGAGGGTTATATGCATTGCTATTATATGCCTTAATATATTCGCAATACTTCACTCGCTGAAAGCACATTATTGAAGCAAACAGTTTATGCAGTTTTCGGTTCGAAGTAATATATACACCGTTCTAGTATTTGTATGCTTATGGTATGCAAAGATGTTATAGAGGCCCACACATCATTTCACACATATTAATAAACTATGGCCAATTCGTTGTAAATTTTATGAAATACTAGCTGTAACCCGCGGGCTTTGCCCCGTTTAACTTCTTAATTTTCAAGATTATCTCGTTCGCGTGGCTCAATCACGTCCTGGTTGAAGTTTGTTCGCTATGCTCACTCACCTTTAGGTTGGAGCTCGTTCGCTAC